TTACACTACCATAAGGTACAGGGGAAAGGAGAGCTCAAAGATAAAGCTAAGGTTCCGGATTGTGGCTGAGACGGTGAATTCCTGTTGTGAGCACAAATGGAGAAGTCGGGCAGAGAGTGTGCAACTCAGTGAGGTATGAAGAGACCACAGTGCGGAGGTGACTTGGAGACTTAGTGCTGTACTTGTTGATTTGGGAAGTGCCCGTAGAGGCCAATGAGATGTCCTAAACTAGAGGTGGGGCTTGGAGCTTGAGGACAGTGGAGAAAGTTAGCTCTTGTGATAACTTGTGACTATGACACTGAGAGCCCAGGTCAAAGATAGTGGGATTAGCCTACAGTCTCTCTGGCATTGCTACATGGCCTGGAACTCAAGAAAGAGAAGAACCAAACCTATAATGGGAGTGAGCTGGGATCAGCAAGTGAGCATTGCCAAGAGAACGAGGGGCTAACAGAATCAAGGCTTCGACAATATTGCCATGAACCAGAAGCTTTGGGAAAGTCAGGAGCATGGAGGTCACGATACACATATAGATCAGTTTAGCATGGGTGTGAGAGAAATGGGAAGGTCAGATCTTGAAAATATAGCAGTTGTTGTACATGGATTACAAAAACATAAAGAAAACAATACACCATAACCTGGTAGTCAGGAAGACAGGTGCAAGAGCCAGACTCTCTGGGTTTGAATCTCAGCCCAGCCACACTAGCTGTGTGACTTTGAGCAGATCTCTTAAACATCTCTGTACCCAGTCTCCTCATCTGCAAAATACCTACCTCATAACATTGTTACAAGGCATAAATCATTTAATAGTTGTAAAAGACTTGGAACAGTGCCTTGAAACATAATATGAGCTGTGTATTTTCTAAATAAACATAAAATAAAATCCTAGTTCCTCATTTATAAGTCAAGATGAATAGACTTATGACCTGAGATGTCCCTTAATAGGTTCAAAATTCAACATATCCCACCTGGTGAATATTCCAGAACCTTCTATCATTTCCATTATAAACTGAGGTGTGCTCTCTTGTGCAATGCTCAAAGGTAAGTTTGTGTGCCTCTTTTTAATGTAGGTGTCCTGTATTTTGTTTGTCTCTTGCTTAAAAACCATAGGCTTTTACCACAAAGTACTTATTTGTATGTACAAGGTTTTAACTCCAGGGAATTGTCATCAGAAATATTTATAAACGATCTGATTTCTTTGATGTTCTGGCTAGACTTGGGATAGGTGAATTCAGTTATTGATTGTGTTTATTCAGTTCTTCTTGATTTCTGATTTTTAATTTCTGTAAAACCAAAGGACAGGTTAGTCTAATGTATAGTAAACTGAGTAGAAGAACAAAGATTTCTCTTTGCTGCCACTTACTTCCTGTCTGACCTTGTGCACATAATCAAATTGTCCTTGTCAGGTGCAAGCTCTCTTTCTCCCTCCTCCCCCAACTTATCGCAAAGGGATGTAATTAAAACTTTCAGATAAAAAGCTCTCCCTCACCTGCCCTCCTGTTTTGAATTGAGTAAATAGTGTAGAGGACATAAGATTGAGAAAATATTGGTGCTCGGTCAAGGGTAGGCTTGGACTTTGCTCCCAAGGCTCCCTGAAGGATCATGCCTGTGACTTTCTATTATAAAGCACTAGGAAAGGAATAATGTTTATGTGTCATAGTGAGTATTCTTTTTTTCTTATAATGTACACCTGGCGATAAATTTTTCACTGATTGCAAATCTCCGAGACCAGGTGACCTTACTTATAGCATTATTACATGATCTTAATCAAACACAAAATCTCTTTTATTCCCTTACCTTCTCATTTTCTTGCTCCCCAAATCTAGAGGAAGTTCTCTTAGTAAAAGGCTATAACAGCATGAACTTTGTTTTCACAGATCTGGATTTAAAACCTGGCTCAGTCACTTACTAGCTGTATGACTTAGGGCAGGTTACCCAGCCTCACAAAAACACAGCCACTTGCTTCATGGGGGTATTATGAGAATTATATTAGGTAATTCATGTGAAGCACTTAGAATAGTACCTAGGACACAGTAAGAAGTCAATAAATAGTGGAGTGTATCACTGTCTTTCACTTACGATAGCTTCACTTGATTTCCCTGCTCCATAGTATAATGAGAAAAGGTACTGGAATGTAGGTGTCTAACTCAAGTTAGAGATTTTAAGAAGCTTTTTGAAGTGATAGGCCAATTATGTGACGTTCAACTATCACTGTGATCTAATTTTAGATTATCACCTGGAGCCATATTAAAGACTTTGATGTCTGGAAATACATTAAAAATGCCAATCAATATTTTGATGCATATCGTGATTATGGTACAAAATCAAGTGTTTATTCCCTAAGTTGACTGACTGATCTTGTTATAAGGGAGCTCTGAGATACATGTATTTACACAAAGCCACATCTTTCTCCATGGAGCATTCATTCTGGTCCTATAAAATCCTGATAATTTATATACATATTGTTTTCAATATAACATCTCATAAATATATGGGAAAGGCTGTATGAACTTTTAGTAATTTTCATTCAGTGCTTTTAGAAAAAAAATCTTCCTGTTTAAAAAGAAATCACATGAGAACATGTACTGAAGAGTTATAAAGCATAATTGAAGTTATAAAGCATAATGCCAATGTCTGATTCATTTTAAAGTAATTGAAGATTTTGCCCTTAAAGCATCTTTCAGGAAACTGTAATTGTTCATTAGCGTTTACAAAATTCTTTCCAAAATATCTGTTCCCCCACTTGGTGGTTTTGAGGCATGTGGCAGGGCATGTGGCACTAAGATTTTGCAGAATGATTCACTGGCTCCATACAAGCATTTTCTGCCTATCCAGTTAATAAACTCTGTGAGATGCAGTCGGGGGCAGGGGGGGCGGTTGTCTCAGCTCCTGCCATGGAAGCGTCATGTCAAAAGGTCTGAAAAGAGCTGCAGGAGCTGGTGACATCTGCAAATAAGGAGGCAGAACTGACACTGCAGCACAGTCATGGGCCAGCAGGTACAGTGACAAATAAGTAGAGTGAACCTAACCCCAGTGAGAATGGAACAGGTCTCTACGAAAGGTTTACTGGGGATGTAAAGGGGGCACAGTAACAACCTAGGAAGTGCATTAAGCAGAGAGAAGAGAGAAGCAGAAAAGAATAAATTGGATAATCTATTATTGTAAGAGTGTATCTTACTTTTTTGATTCTGGTACTTTAGGTATACTCAACATATTTTTGTTTGAGGCAGAAAAACTCAGAAGCAGCTTTCAAGTGAAAAAAAATCCTTATATGGAGAGATACCGAAAGTAAGATGCTTTTTAAATACCATATTTATTATTATCCTGAAAAGTCAAGCCTGTGTATTAGCTTCCAATAGAAGCAAATAGGATTATTTATTAAATCAATATTGTGTAACTGTTATGGTTTTCCAAAGAATCACAAGAATAAATGACTTCTTAGTAAAGTGCTAACTATAAAATAATGGTTATATACTATTGAGTGGCAGATAGTATGAAACGGTGTACAACTTTACCTATTTAACTATTTAAAAAAAATCAGGCTAAAGCTTCAGTGTGTCAGCAATTTTAAAACTACTTTGTTATTTAAGCATAAGTCTGATAGAGTAGTGAGAGCCTTGTGCATGCGGAGGGATCATATATTTCTCCCTAAATGTACTGATAGATTAGTTTCAGTAACTAAACTAATTTTTAGTAACTAAATTAATTTTTTTAAAGTTGGAAGCCGTCATACTATTATATCAAAATGACAATTTTTTATACCTGATATTTATTACGAAAATGCTGAAGAGTCTAGGTAGAATTTTTGTTGGAAAAATAATGTGTAAATTAAAATTCATAGTAGGAGTCACATTCATTTTCAAAGTGGACAGTTGGTATTTTGCTAGTCCATTCACTTGTAGGCATTTAATACAGCTTTGTTTTTTTATTGCAAAGGAGGATTAGAGTGAGAGCCAACTACTTACTGAATAGTTACAAATCACATACCACAGATTAGAATCTAATTCAGTTACCTTCTAACTGTGACCTTGGCCTCTTCGTTTTGTTGTGTATATGTGCTGCCTGCAAGATAAAAATAATAATGATACCTGTTTTATAGAGTTGTTGTAAAGATTAGTCAATTTATGTAAAATACTCATATCAGTGTCTGGCACACCAGCAATCAGTGAATAGGTGTTAGTTGGTGATATTATTGTTATGATAAACCTAGAACAAGACTTCATGAGTCAGTGATTTTTCTGACCTCAACCACAAAATTCCTAGTAACTTTTCGCAAACCTATATGTGAGTGATTAAACTGTGTCAGCAAGCTTGCTTTTGCTTATCTTTGTGTTGGCTTTGGCAAGGTCAGGGACCTAATCTTAGAAAACCATCTGTGTGAAAGGAATATAGCTTTTGCTAATAACTGCTGGCATCCCCTTGGATTTTGCACAAAATGACCAGGATACCCACAATTTGCCATGTTCAGCTAAAGTATGATTTGCAGTCAGCAAAAGATTGTTTCTTATAAGCATCCTATCTGTGATCCCTAGGATGTGGAAGACCTCAGGGGTGACTTCATTGTGTAGCAATAATAGACAGTGTGACCTGTTGGTTAATGACTTCTCTCTGACTCATAAAAGATAGCCATGTCACAAGTTCTGCTAGATTGTTTTCTTTAAGGATATTTGTCAGAACTAGTGCAAATCAAAAAGATACATCACTGCTATTAGAATGAAACTGGGAGCTTGAAAAGAACAATTACTACTGATAATAACAACATGGATGTATCTCAGATCATTTTGATAAGTGAAAGAAGCAAGACTCAAAAGGCACATACTAAATAATTCCATTTATAATTTAGTTCATTTCTGTTTAAATACTCCTTGATGGCTGTAAGGAATTGGGTACCTGAGAAGCTTTAGAAAACTGTTTTTATCAAACAATTTGATAAGGTGTTTATTACTTTGGAAATATTATCCAAGCTTTATTTTCTAACATGTGAATATCTATTCTATTTTTAGGAGACAGATGAGCAAAAACTTCACAAAATAGCCAATGAACTTTTGCTTACAGAAAGAGCTTATGTCAACCGACTTGACCTCTTAGATCAGGTAGTATTTTCCCTTTCATAATTGTTTTATTTTTTGGTACTGTATATTTTAATTTAGTAATTAAACTTAGTAATTTAGTTTTAGTATAAGTGCTGCTGAAGCGAGCACATTAGTAATTTAGTTTTAGAAACTACACGAAAGGCCTGACCATTCTTGGCCAGTGAAAGGAAATTTCTAACATTGTCAGCTTTGTCAGTATAAGTGAATGCACTGGGTATAAAGGTTTTATACTTCATAAAGAACAGATTGAAGGACTCTCTGTACAAGTTACAAGAGCCTTTATCTTTATTTTCAATCCTAACCACTAATCCGTTTCTTGACCATTTATTGTGATTCCAGAAGCCATGCTAGCATTCGTTATACTTTAAGAGACTGGTGCTTCTAATGCTAACATGAATACATCACTGATCCTGTTTGACTCGTTTGCTCTTCAGCCCTGCGTGAGGGATCTGAATTACTGCATTCATGGAGCCAGAAGGAATTTTTAGAGTTCACTAGTTCAGCCTTGTATGAAACGTTTAATACATTGCCTGGCATAAAGTTGCACAGTCAATATTTATATTTGTTGAATATGTGAATCTACTTTATCACATCTTTTACTTACGTCATCGTAGAGCCTCGAGTATTATTTCAAATGTACATTTGCAAGGGAAGTTTTAATATGCATCAGAAGAATAACACTTGAAAACTAAGGCCTCTTAATCCTGTTTCAGTGATAAAAGAACCAGATATTTGGTAGATTGTCTGCTAATTTAGACTGCTCTTATTAGAAGAGAAAGTTGCCCACCAATTTATTTTGAGTTTGTGCTTTTGAAACAACTTTTCTCCTCATGGGGATCACAGAACTGAAACTTTTAGGTGTTCCTGTAGTGGAAATGTGTCTTTTCCTCTTACTGAATTGTGGTCCCTCCCGCCTTTCCCCCACCCCCCAGCCGTATTAGTTTGTTCAGCTATTGTTGCTTGCCTTTTAGGATTTTAGAGTCTAAATTAGTACAATATCTTATCTATTGGAGTCTCTAAGGACATAATTTTGTGTTCTTTTTGCCTCCCAAGAAAATGCAGTGGAGGTGAATTTAGAAAATTAACAACCACCTGGACAGGCCTCTTATGAAGGAACAGGCCTCTTTCTGCCTACACTTAACAGAATGGCCAGAGGTATAGTAGCCCCAGTGGAGTAGAGCCAAGACTGCAAATGTTTTTTATTGTCTTTAAGATACCTCTTATTACATATAGGAGATCTTTTTATCCTCATATCAGTGTTTTAAGTTACACGTTATTATTTTTTACTAAAAGACAAGAAAACATCTGAGAACTGAAATAGTCTTTTGTTCATCCATTGACCAAATATTTATTAAGCACTTTTTCTAGTGTGGAGACTAAATTATGATGTCCGCCTTCCCCAAGGAGTATACAGTTTTAAAAGGGAAAATAAAATTTATGCCAACAAATGACAATAAAGGAAATATGTAGTAAGTGCCAAAGAAGTCATTCAAAACATAAACAGGTGTGGAAAATACCACAATTATTATGTGTATATAAAGTTTTTTATATCTCCAGAAAGGGTAAACCCTGTTAACCTCAACTGGAAATTCTCTGGCATAGACAAGGTTAACATCTCACAGAAAGAGGCATATCCTAGATTAGAGTCAAAGTTTCCTAATTCTGGTTCCTTGTTCTTCTTAATCAAAGCACGTACTCACTCTTACATTTCAAAAATGATCGATTTCTTGAACCATGAATTTTTCCATTTATTCATCAAGTTATTAAGAACCCAGTATGTGCCCAGCACAGTGCTAGGTGGTTAACCAATAAATTCAATGTAATGTTTGCTTTGTTTTCTTATTCAGGTATTTTATTGCAAACTATTGGAAGAAGCAAATCGAGGGTCATTTCCAGCAGAGATGGTGAATAAAATCTTTTCTAATATTTCATCAATAAACGCCTTCCATAGTAAATTCCTATTGCCAGAACTGGAGAAACGAATGCAAGAATGGTAAGAGGAGTAGATAGCAAGTGATATGTCTTAAGGTGGTTATATTAAGTGCTGTGTTATTCAGCTTTTAAATTGAAATACTAATGCTGCACAGAACTGTAGCCAAACATTTGTGCTAAATTTTTATGTTAAAGACCACTAATAGAAGTCATGGTACATTTTCAGCTTTAGTTCAAAGGGACTGCATCTCTGCTCTCTCGTCTTTTGACTAGTGGAGATAAGATATTAGCGGTTATCTGGAGCTTCAAGAATTCCATAGCATCTCTTCTTACTATGTCATTCCTAAACTTCTTTAATTCCTAAACTTCTCTACTTTCCTTTATTCTCTACCAATCTCACAGCAAAGTGGATCTAACAAAGCACAGGGTGTGTGTAAAGAAGTGATTATGTCATTTGAATTCGCTCGTTCTGTAAGAAATCTTAATGACTTGTTTTTATATTTTGTACAGGGAAACTACCCCTAGAATTGGTGACATCCTTCAGAAATTGGCACCATTCCTTAAGATGTATGGAGAATACGTGAAGGGATTTGATAATGCAATGGAATTGGTTAAAAACATGACAGAGCGTATTCCCCAGTTCAAATCAGTAGTGGAAGAAATTCAGGTAATAGGACTCTTTTACAATTTTGTTGGTAAAAATTATACGGTCTTGTAGATCTAAAATTTAGATGAGAAATCTGAGACACCTATCCAAATTCCATTCTATTCTGAATTATGCAGAAATCATCTCTGCAAAGTTAAAGTATTCATTGAGCATATGCCATGTGCTGAGCAATACATTTTCCATTTGCTTTTGAGACCTGGAGAGTTTGGTTTTATCAGGCTCCACATAAGTTTAAAAGTGAATTCCCATTTAGTTCTGTGCCTCTTGCTTTCTTTCAGAGGTTGAGATGTTGGAATGACTATAAATGAATAAAATGAATGATTGCCTATTAACTCTGACATTTTGGAAACATAATTATTCTGGCTTTATTTATTTATTTGTTTATTTATTTTTTGGTCACTTTATATCCTGATTTTTTAAAAAAATTTTATCAAACCTGGGTAATACATTTTCATACCATAATAATTTCTATTTGATTCTCTAGTTAAAATTGTTAATAACTGTTCCTTGTTAACGGTTAAATATTGAAAAGGAACTTTTTAGATCACATAAGATTCTTGGTGTGGGGATACTATTGCTCCTTGACTGCGGCCTTTTTTGTTTCCTCATGCTCTATATTTGCCTTCGAGATCATACATTCAAGGTGCTTACCATGGAGATTGTTGCATATTTCACTACACGATGGTGATGGTGGTCATTATTGTTTTATCAAACCTTAAAATTCTATTCTTTCAATGTCTGTGTTCTCCATATCATGAGGAAATGATAGGGTTGTGAAAGGAGTGGTAGATTGAGAATCGACTAACCTAGTTTGGAATTCTAGTCTGCCACTTACAGTCGCTTGACCTTAGAAAACTCTCCTAACTTCTCTGAGCCATAGTTTCCTCATGTACAAACTTTGGGATCAGTAATATATACTGTATATCAGTATATACATACATACACAGACACGACAGGTTTGTTAGAGCAAATCAAATGAGATAGCTAAACTTGTAATGGTTTATTTCTTTAATAAACTGTAAATAATTAAGAAAAGCCATTAACCCCTGACTTCTAGGCTAATGTCAGGCCATTTTTACTTGTCCTGGCCTACAATAATAAAACCCAAACTAGTTTCCTCACATCTTCCTTACGCCATATTGTAGTAAGGTTTTAATAGATCTTGGATCTAATGATATCACTCCTCTGCGTGAAAACCTTCATTAGGTGAAACAAATCTAAACCCAGCTGGACATTCTTATTCCAGATTACCATTTCTTCCTCATCCCCTGTTTCCCTATAAATATACTAGCTACCAACAAAATTCAGTTGTTCCCTTTTACGGAATATGTTTCACATCCCACTGTCTTGGGCCTGTTCTTCAATGGCCCTCTTTCTGCACTTGCCTCCTAGTCTTCCTCACTTCTCTTCCCACCAAAGCCTGCCATCATCAAAGTTCATGTTAAATTCTCCTTTCTCTGTGAAGCTTTTAGTTTTTTTGTTTGCTTTAAATAGAAATACCATGTCTTAATACATCTTTCATATCCTGCAGTGCCTTGATCATGGTAGGAGTTCAATAAATATTTTAAAGAGATTCCTGCTTTGTTTCATGTGAAAAGAACACATTTTGAAAATAATCTTTTCCCTCTCATGTTAAGGACTTATTGAAAGTAAATATTATAGACTTGATTTTTTTTTTCCTAAGAAAAGGAGCTCTCCTTATAGAGTTTGGTTTCTAATGGAAAAGAATGCCATGACCTAATGCAAAATTAAACTTATTCTGACAGATAATGAAATGCTCAGATCTTGTCATTCTTCTTTGTAGAGTCTTTTTTTAAGTTCAAAGGAAATGACATTTATGGTAGCCTTATTATGAAATAGTTTCTGCTGAGAACAAAGTCATTTAATACGGTTGTGCTTAGTGAAGCTCATTAATTAGATGTTTCTTTTGAAAATTTCTGAGTATGATTTAATAATGTGACCTCACAAACCCTTACAGTGACTAATTGAAAAGATTACTAGCAATCGAATTTCTTGCTTAAAATTCTGCTTGATTTTTCTTTCTGTTCTTACACTGGATTTGGTGGTCCTCAAACTTTAACGGAAGAATCTGGGGTGTTTTTAAACACATATGCCCAGACCCTTGCCTCCAAGATTGTAGCTTCGTAGATTGGAATGGGGTTCAAAATTTCTATTTTTAATAGCACTCCAGATACATCTAATGTAGGTGATACGCAGACCACACTTTGTAGGGAATGGCTGAGCTTGATGAAAGTTTTGTATTACAGTGAGTTTTTAGTTCGTAGGCTAACCTAATTTTTATATCTTTCTTTACAAACCTTTCTTATTACAGAAACAGAAGATCTGTGGGAGCTTGACTTTGCAGCATCACATGCTAGAACCTGTTCAGCGGATTCCCCGATATGAGATGCTCCTTAAGGACTACCTAAGGAAACTGCCCCCTGATTCTCCAGACTGGAATGATGCTAAAAGTAAATGCTTCCCCCCCTCTTTTTCATTATGGGATAATTCAGTGGACAAGCTGCCTTGTGGTTCCAAAGTGAGATAGATCTTAGAGCAACTTTAGTAAAACATTGGTACCAGAAAATAACCTCACTGGAAATTGTTATCAACATCTCAGTTAGGCAAGCACTTTCGAGCCCAAATCACAGGTTTAGAGCAATGCAAATTACATTTCTCTTGCTGGTTTCATGTTAATCATTAATTCTGAAGTATAAAACTATAGTCTTAGAGATATCTGGAATAGGAATACACAATTACCTTCTCACAGGAAGAATACAATGATTCAGAATCACTAGTGCTGCTGGTTAATTAGATAGGTTGATGCACCCAAAGAAAGTTAAGATGGCATTTACTATGTAAAAATAACCTAAGCAAAGTTGGCTCTACCTGCTCAGAAGAGAAAATGGTGCTATTTAGTGTCAGTTAACATTTTCCCTGAGAAAACTTAATTTCTTTTCTGCTAGTTGTCTTTTATTTTTTCATTTGTTTATAATGAAAGCCTTTTTCTTTTTAAGGCTCAAGAGTATCAATAATTTCACTTTCTTATGTACTTTTAAAAAATTAATTAGCCGTGAAGGGAAGAATGAAAGTTAAGGAAAAAATGGGTTAGTATTCAACAAGTACTAACGATACTTAAAGCATTGCTAGTTTTCCTAATACTTTTTTGTCTTCCACTATAAGTGAAACTTGATAAGAGATGAGGAGCAGAAAACAGAATCTTTGCTCTTGGAGCCTGAGTCTTTTTTTGAGCACAGGCTCTGCTTTGATTCTGCACCACCCAAGTGAGTCAGTGACCACAGAAACTTTCCTTCCCCCCTTTCTCCTTCAGTTTAGAGCTTTCCCAACTTGCCTTCTTCCACTTTCCACTCATCCAGCCTGAGTGCTTGGTTTGAGTGGCAGGGCTAGTAGTTGGGTTAGAGATAGGACTCACCACTGCGACTCCTCAAACTGGTCTCCTGGGTAGCAGCCCCAGCCCACCTGGTTTTGTCTCCTTCTACCGTGAATCCTGTATGGAATGCACAGAATTGCCCAATCAGGATAGTTCTCCAAAATATAAATAAAAATTCAGTGTGTTCCACACTCAAAGTCTTTGATTCCCTCTCAGGTGCCAATGTCAAAAGTGACAAAGTTGGCAACATGGTAGCATATATTATTACTCTTTTTTGTTTTCCCATTGCTACTTACACTAAAATTCTAAGAAAATCACAGAAGTGCTTTTAGAGACCTACAAGTAGAGGAGAAGGCAACCCAAGTGCATTTTGTTTAGCAGTGGAACAAAGAAGACAGAAATGTCGGTCCAGAGGTGATAAAGTTGTTGTGGTAACAGAGTTAACCTGACCAGTATTCACAAGATACAAAAGAAAGGAAGAGAGCAGGACATGATTTCAGATTGAGAGCGTGCCCTGGAGTTGAGCTGGCAGGAGGCCTCAGCTTCCACAGCTCTGCACCAGCAGTCCTAGAGCTCCTACCTTGCCCACACCCAAGAGTTCCTATTCCCTTCTCTTACTACCACCTGCCCCAGCAACAGAACCCTCCATCAACGTTGGCATCAGAAGATTCTCTTTCATCCCACTGAGGCTAGAACTGTGAGTGTGTTTTCCCAAAGAAAGTTGGTTCTGCTTGGTGGTTAATTTGCTCATAAAACCACTAAAATACTACTGCTGAAATGTAGAAATTTGAGTAAGAAGACTTAAGTTCAGATGTGGCCCTTTTGTGTGACCTTAGCCAAGTCATATCACTCTCCATTTCTTTCAGCTGCCAAACAGAACTAATATACTTTCCATTCAAGGTTTTATAAGAATTAATTGACATAACATATATGAAAGCATCTGGCAAAGTGCCTTGTACCACACTGGTATACATGGTGTTTGTTGATTTTGAAGGTCCATTATGGATTAAATATACATGTAAGCCTCATCATTGTATGTGACTTTTTATGAGGAAATAGCCTTCAAATCTCAAGTAATCTGCTTACAGTGAACTTTTGAAAGTACCTAGTTTGTGAATGAAAATTGTCCCTGCTTTTATTGTGTATCTTTGGTCTCAGATTTTTTCTTTCTTTTCTTTTTCTAGATTTCTTCTTATTGTAGCGTGTAGTGTATGTTACTCAGTTATCTAGTAGTATACTAAGAACAATGTATGTTTCTTTTCTTTTTTCCCCATTTAGAATCACTTGAAATTATATCTACAGCGGCAAGCCATTCTAATAGTGCAATAAGAAAAATGGTAAGTGGTTTTCAGAGGCGAGAGGAGTCTTCTAGTTAGATAATTGTCGATAATGTAGCCTAATATTATCTACAGGTTTCCATCAAAATGAATTGATACAGTAAACAGAAAAGATTGTTTATAAAATGTTTAGTGTTATCCGTAATAATCTCTCTTCTCCTCTCTTCTCCCATGTTTTATTTTCCTCAGAACTGACATATTTTATACCAAAATTTATGCTTAGTTCCAATTACTTCTGAATTATTCATGCTTTAGCTAAGGTGGTTATATTATTAAAGCCACTAAGGTGAAACCTCCTTATATTTGATCTTGTTGTGTTTTGTTTTATTTTCCTAGGAGAATCTAAAGAAACTCTTAGAGATTTATGAAATGTTGGGAGAAGAAGAAGACATTGTAAATCCTTCAAATGAACTAATAAAAGAAGGACAGATCCTCAAACTAGCTGCTCGAAACACATCAGCACAAGAACGCTATCTTTTCTTAGTGAGTATTGTAGTGTGGGAAAATCACATAAAAGTAGTTCACAAATGTTATATACATCATGGAAGAGTCAAACACTTTGCTTGCTTGCTCATCAAAGCAGTTCTGTCTAACCCAATATAGGCACCACTGTCAGGATTCTACATAAGGGAATGTCCTTAGTGATTGAAACTTGTTCTTTCCAGGACATACCTTTTTTTGAAGTATTTTTCTATAACTTTTCTGTGTACTTACCATATATAATTTAGTTCAGCAACACATACTGAATACAACTTTCCATGATGATCAATAGCCATGAGTGTATATATGGGGTATGATATGCTTTTTGGAACCCTCCTATTTTTGTTTCAGATTTTCTTGTTCTTTTCATTCTTACAGGCTAAAGGATACGATTTCCTAGATATTTTGTCGGCATACTATTTCCTGACAGCAGTTCTCTTCCTAATCTTCTCTAATCACTAATTTTAATCTTTCTAGTGTGAAGAAATATATAAGCAGTGTTAGAAAACTTATGCCTAAAATATCTGTGAAAAGTGCATGAGTTTGCTACATAGTTCCTTTCACTTCAGTCGGTCTCTGTCCCTTTCTTCACTTTTTGGAAATCACAGTCAGTCTGGGGCTTATCTCAAATGTAAGAGCTCTTCTTGGGATATCCAAGCTACTTATTTTTAGTCACTGGTACTTCCAGCTCCTTTTTATATCTAATGATATGATGATAACCATAGTAATAGCTAACAGTAACAATAAGCTAACATTGAGTAATAGCGTAGTAAATGTTAGTTATTATTATGACTGTTATTTTAGGCAAAGAAACAGAGAGACATTGGTGAAGAGGCTGCCCAGTGACTGGCACATAATATAGTCTCAGCATAATACTGACATCTGACTTTTCTGCTGCAAGGTAGTCATCTTACCACCATAATATGAGTTGTCATTAAGGGCTTAGAGGTTTCTGTTGTCTGATTACAGCCTCCCTTGAAAGGCAAATTTGCAGGAACTGTCATGCACTATTAGAATGGCTTGCCGCTGTAGATATAATTTCAAGTGATTCTAAATGGGGAAAAAAGAAAAGAAAAGAAACATACATTGTTCTTAGTATACTACTAGATAACTGAGTAACATATGCTACATACTACAATAAGAAGAAATCTAAAAAAAGGAAAAAAAGAAAAAATCTGAGACCAAAGGTACACAATAAAAGCAGGGACAATTTTTTTAAAAAGAACATATGGTTACCATATGACCCAGCAGTTCCATTCCAAGTTTGTGCATAACTCAAGAAAATTGAAAACATATGTCTGTACAAAACTTGTTCATGAATGTTCCTAGCAAAATTATTCATAATAGCTGAAAAGTGGCAACAACCTAAATGTTCATCAGCTGATGAATGGGTAAACAAAGTGTGGTATATCCATGTAAAAGAATAGTATATGGCAATAAAAACTAATAAAATACTGTGTCAAAACATTGTGTCAAGTGAAAGAAGACAGTCACAAAAGGCCACACTGTATGATTCCATTTATATGTAATGTCCCAAATAGGAAAATACGTAGAGGTAGGATATAAGTAGTGGTTGCCTAGGGCTAGTAGGAAGGAAGAAATGAACACAGGCTTTCCATTCGGAGTCATGAAATGCTCTGGCATTAGATGGTAGTGAACATTGCACAATTTACCACTGTACTAAAAACCATGAATTCAACATTTTTTAAAAAGGTAAATTTTATGGCATATAAACTATATCTAAATAACTTTTAAAAATTTATAGTTATCATCCAAATTAAGAATCTTCATTCGTGCTCAACAGAAGTACTTCACCTTTCAGAGGTTATAAAGCAAACTAAATATAAATCAGGGACATGTAATGTCCTGTCAGAATTCAGAGGTCTATTTATTTTGAAATACAGCTTTTGTTATTCAGGTATGGTAAGGCCACCAAGTTGGAGACAATTGCCATTGAAAAGATAGTTATACTCACAGATCTCAAAAAGAGAAGGCATGCCACACCATGCAGTGTTGGGGAGGCTACATGAGAAAGGACCAGAGTCAGGAAGCAGAGAAAACAAGCAGAAAATGTGGGCTAGAGCCTTACTGTAGTTTCTGTGAGAGGAATGGGCAGGGGAAACAGGCTTAGGATTTGCCAGTGTAAATGATTTTGTCAGACTCTGGGGCTTGGGTAACCCTGAGAGGGGCAGTCCTTCCAGTGTCCCAGCATCAAAAATACAGATGAAAAAGACATGCTTGTTACACAACATGCCTGGGAGTCATTGTTTTCCCTTTGTCTTTACCCCACCTTTAGGCGCTTAGATAATTTTCCTTTCTCCTCTTCCACATGAGTGTTTCTACAATTAAACTTTAACTCTGTATCTAACAAATTGCCTTAGTTTAATTTTCCTATGTGAGAATTATTCTGGAGTAGTTTTAGGTTGAATACCTTGATGTAGAGCCAAATTAAGCAGTTGTTTGGAGAACACGGAGACAGTAACTTTGAGGCAAGGAACCATCGTGTTCCCATTATTGTAAGCTGTCAGACTTGTCATGCCATTGCTTCCCAGGAGAATCGAGTCAGACAGTAGGAATTTTCGGAAAGCCACATCCATCTTCTTCTGAAGGCTATCTTAGCAGCATTTCCTGTAGCATTCATTCTTTAATCCTCCCCTTTGTAGTACGGTACTGGTCACAAGATCCCTTCTCTCACAACACTTTATTCCCATTAGAGCTGCTTGTTTTTTTATACATAGAAACCTCAGAAGTACCTTTTTTTTTTTTTCCTTTCTCTCTAGAAAGAAAATGAGGGCTAGTTTTCTATTTCCTACTCTGGGGGTGTTACATTTGTCTGAAAAGCCAAATTATATTTAGAATCTGATTTCAGCTTTTTCTGAAACAAACTTTATTGAAACTGTCACTGGTGAGACATGAAATTGAATTATTTCAGTCAAATTAATATATTTTAAGCAACTTGAAATAAATAGTTGAATAACACTAGAGATCAAGAAGGGAGAGCCTCCCTATGCTTTTAATAAAATTGAGACTTGCTTCTAGGTTTTGGTATAGCCTAACGCTTCTAGATTTGCCTCACCAGCCAGAGATTACTTTGTTAATAAGTACTTCTGAGCTATGGGCGTGAAATAAAAAAGGAACCATCCACACTGAAAGGGAAATTGATCTACTTGGTGCTATAGTTGCTATAACTTCCTTTTCTGATACCAGTGAAAACCCAGAGGGAAGATGACGGTGGTTTTTGCCACAGGAGCAAGGTTCACAGAGGAAATAGGACTAGCTACCTGATTGCTTTACATATATTGCATCTTCTACTTTGTAAGCAACATTTTGTATCCTTCAAGAGCTCTTGCCTTCACCTCTAGGGAGAAGGAAAAGGGTATTTATGGACTAGCATTAGAATATGATCTGAGTTATAAAAGATTATAATACATAGTTATTGATGATTTGGAATGTGAAGTCACACTTAGGAAGAATTAATAAGGGAAATGTAATCCCGAAAGCATGAAAAAAAGAGAAACGTTCATTGTAAGATATAGTCTGTCATCTTGCTTGAACATAACTCTAAAAGTAAATGCTAAGAACTTCCATAGTCGTGAACTTGTATATCTATAAAATAACAAGAATTTGCTGAACTTTATAAAGTGAACTTGAATACAAGTATCAGATAACTCAGAAATTGTATGGCCTAACATTACATTTGTCACACAGTTGGCAGAAAAGTGTGGCGGTTGTTGCTATCTTGAAGGTGTGAGCCCTGTCCATTTCGATGGTGGCTCTGCAGCTCCTGCTGCACCATCCACATCCTTGACCAAATTCCCTCCTGAGAAGGCCTTGACAGGAGAACGGTTAACATGAACAGGTAGCAGGCTAGCAGTTGCCTTAATCAAGCTGGAATGGTGATGAGAACCTTTCAGAATGTTTTCAAATCTCTAAATCCTGTGTGCTACAATGAGGCTGTGATTGCCATAGAATACAGCAGACAGTTCATGGTAAGTCATAGGTAATTAGTGTTCTTTTCTAGAAATTTAAATGCAAAATGTAGTGCTAAGATATATCTGATAAAATGAATTTTGTGTCCTTTTATTTCTACATTATCCAGTTGTGGAAATGAAATTTATAGCACTGGTTACAGGAAGTTGCAAATTAATGCATGAGGAACAACTGGTGAGAACTTTGTTTTCAAAATGAGTACAACGGATGGTGTCACATAAACATGTTGAAATGTGTTAAAGAGTCATCAACATTTCTTGTCTTTACGTCCATATGGAGCCAGACAGAATCTGGCAGAACAAGACATTTTTCTTCATTTAATCCTCTCAACAACTTGTGACTTTTATAAATAATGATCCTGAGACTTGAGAGGTCACATAGCACATAAGGGTTTAAATCCCCAGTTGCTCTTATTAGAAAAATATATGTGACTCTAGAAATAATGCAAGAAACAAATATGAAGGGAGATATAGGTATCTTCTTTAGGGATATGCCTACAGATTAACCCATATATTTAGACTTTCATCTTTTCGCATGTTTTAGTATATTCAGTGTGAATTATATGCCCTCTCCAAATCATTGCTTGTGCCTAATTAGCGAGAGCTGTTCATTGTTGACTAGAAATGAGGCAGTATACATAATTTGATTCAATTGCAAAATAGTTTTTCATTTTAAAAGTAGATCCTATAAAGATCTTTAAAGACCGCTAAAATAGGTGACTTTTCTGTTAATTCATACCCAATAAATTCTTAAGAAATGGGCCAATATAAAACAGTGACTTCGTTTTTTTACATAGAGTTAATGTGCCAACACCGCATGTTCTAATGGCATTGAAACTAATAATTTTGGCTATATTTAAACAACATTAAACACATTGATAAAAATAATTGCTAAATATTACTCTTTTACTCTAACAGCTATTGTAGAGTTGCTCTCTAAGACACGTGAATGAGAATTTTGTTGTCTAAGGACTTCAGCTTATATGCTTAAGAACTTCAGTTGCTGGTATATAGAAGGTTCTTAATAAATGGTTGCTGAATTTAATTGAACTAATTTCTTTTATAGTACAAAATGATGATTAGTTTACTTAAATATCATCAAAACATTTATGCACCAACAAAGGGAAGTATATGCTATAATTTTAAAGTATAATTTTAATGCAAACACAAAATCTCAATATAGGATTTAAATAATTTTGCTCATATAGAAAGCATGATGTTCCTTGGAAATTCCTTGGAATATTGACTTAGGGCTACTTCTTCCAATTTTGGTCACTTTCCTCTCTCCTTTGTTTTCCTTTTTACTGATGTATGTTCTGCCTCTTTGCAGTTCAACAACATGTTGCTGTACTGTGTGCCAAAATTCAGCTTGGTGGGCTCTAAATTCACAATTCGAACCAGGGTTGGCATCGATGGAATGCAAATTGTAGAGACTCACAATGAGGAATATCCACATACTTTCCAGGTGTCTGGGAAAGAGAGAACACTGGAACTGCAAGCCAGGTAAGAGAACCATTCTATCACACAGCTTTCCAAAAGTATCTGAATGAATCATAGACAAGAATAATTCTGAAGATCTTTCCCAAGTGAATGTTACAGACCTCTGGGAAACTGGTTGAACGCAAGTAGAGAGATATAAGCTCTTGAGAAGCAAGAATTATGTATTCCCTTTGGATTCCTCCTTAGTGCCTAGGATGGTGGTTTTCAGATAGTAAGCATCCAGTAAATTATATTTACTCTTCAGATTTATAAGGTGCTCAGAGAATGAAGTCGTTATATTTAAGCTGGAGTTTTGAGCCTTGTGGGAAAAGGTTCTCCCCTAACCCTTTTCCCTCCATCATTCCTTTGGGTCCACAAATGTTTATTGATGCTTATTATTCCATGCTAAATGTTGGAGCCTTAACTCTCAGTCCTTCAGAGGCTCTGCATTCATGGAAATTCACGGCACTTTGATGGAGAGTATATTTGGAGGAGATAGGGTAGAAAAGGTAATCATTCTCCTGCCACAGTTGGAGAATACTTGAAAAAGACCATTTGGGGCCTTGGTGGCCTCTAGCAACCAGGACTTCTGGAAAGGTGGCTCCTCTTATTTGTTTTATTGAGTGGGATAGAAAGGGCTGGCATTCTAGCATTCATCCCCCTAGCATAACCATGTTTGAAAAGAAAAACATGAGAACTACTGCAGTAGACCACAGCTACCTCATCCGTGAACCACTGGAAGACAAAGTGCTGTCTGGTTTTTAAACATCTGCGTTAGAAGACTGTCATCTATTTATCCTATAAAGTCCTAGCATGGTGAAAATTGGGATACTCCAGAAAGTCAAAGATCAGAGGGTTAAGTACCAATTCCAGCTCTGATGGTTCTGATACCTTAGAATCCATGGAGAGTCAGAGAGCCCTTCTGTTCCTTTCTGTTCCCTTGTACCAATAGCATGTAGATCTGGCTGCTCAGGTGAATTCATCCTGGAAATTTGTACTTAGTAATTGTGCAAGAGCTTAAACTTCAGACTTCCAAAAGAGAATAAATCATTTTAGCAGGAATCTATGCCCTGGAAGTCAGAAAATTGGTAAAACGAGAGTTGTGGAAGATGGGGCAGGTTGGCAAAGTTTGAAGAAGTTGCCACCCAGTTCTTCGCTTTCCCACAGAAAATATATACTGAACCTGACTTACGGGGCTGACAGGGGACTACTCTGAGGATTAGAGGGGGGCGTTTCAAGCATAAGTTAAAATGGTGGAAGACTTGGCTTTGGATATCATGGTGTTTCTACCTTGTCACGATGGGGTTTGGGCCCCAGCCGTCAAACATAAGAGAAGAATGTATGATGTTGACTCACTGAGTGATCGGACTGATAACAAGGAGGATTCACCAATAGTTCTCATGATAGAAGTCTTCATTGCAGAAGAATGAAGGTGCCGCTGGCTCTGAAATATCAACATTCTTCCAAATCTGCAAACCCAAGAGGTGTGTCTGAACAGCAGGAGAGAGATTGATTATCAAAGTTTCTTGGGTTACCTAAATTGAAACTCCAGCCCTCCATTAGCAGGTTGGGCTGTTTTCTCGTTAGAAGGGGGCTGATTCATGAGGAATTTTCTTAAGTACAGGTAATCATCACTTTGTAGAGTTCCAATATGAGTACTGACTGGGTATATTCCAATTAGTACTGAAAACATGGACTTTTTTCTTAAATTTCTTATTCCCCTAATGTCATTGCTTTAGTTATATTTATGATTATATGGTGAATTGAAGATCTAAATTGTTTTTACTTTTCATCTAGTCTATAATGACTCAAGAATGGAGACAAACATGAAGGTCTTAGAAAGTTAGAGTGTTAGAGGGATTACATGGAACTCAAAAGTTAGATATATATTTGGAGATATTTAAAGAGAATTCACGAGAAAGTTAGTGTTAGAGGGATTACATGGAACTCAAAAGTTAGATATATATATTTGGAGATATTTAAAGAGAATTCACGTCTGAAACCACCTGGAAAAAAAGCCTTTTCCTTTTCTTGCTAAATAAGCTAGCCTCAAGAGTGACCACTTATATTCTGTGCACTCTATGTTTAAAGGAATATAAAATATTCTTGTTTAATTCAATGGTTTTCTATTGCTAAATGGATATAAAAGTATAGTGATAAGTAAATTAAACAAAGGAGTAAAAAAAATCTGCCATGACTGAGAAAGTAAAACAAAAAGCACTAAAATTTTGTTAAGGTTCTTTGCATTTAAAAGGCTAAAAGCACTAGCAAATACCTATGCTTTCAGGGCAATAGAGCTGATTTTGTGGGAACGGGGCACAGCAATAGGAAGAAATCTTTTTTGAGCTTGGTCCAAGATTCCCCAGATGAACAATAAGCAGAATCTTCCATTTGACAGGCACAGATTCCAGAAGCATTCCTGGCACTTCATGGTGCTTAATAATAAATTTGCTGGAAAGCTATATAGTGTCACAGGAGCAGACCTCCTGCCAAACTCATGCATATGTGATACCTATAGGACCAAGACATGTGACATTCTGGCCGGAACTCAAACTTAGCTCAGGCCTACCAAACACATGCCAACAGAGCCCACTCTTTAACACTCTTCAAAATCCTTCAATTTGAAGATCTTAGAGTCTACTAAATGGGATTTTGCTAATAAAGCACACAACAACAGTCAGCTATATAAGCCATCTGCAAGGGAGATGAAATAAAAAAAAATTTGCCTTAACAAGAAAACAGGAATTTTTTCAAAGAAATTTTTCCCCAACATATAATTATTAAATACTTCCAAATCTGCAACCCCAAGAGGTGTGTCTGAACAACAGAAGAGAGATTATCAAGGTTTCTTCTCTTGCCTAAATGTGGACTATGAATCTGTGAAACTTCTTTCCTACAGGCATTAGAAATTTTTGTTTTGCTCTATCTATAGTTGGTTAGGTATGGTATTACCTGAAGCCTTCTAGGAAAATAAATTAAATTATTTATCAAAGGAAACGTTAAATAGCTGCCTACAGCCTTACGAAGATATTTTAGACTTTCGAGGATAATTATCTTTTTTAAGATGGGCTGTGACTAGTAACCTTTAAAAGCCTCATCTGTTTTTATAAAGGTGAATTGGAAGACTAGTTGTATATCCAGTATAATGCTAGATCTCCAGAGTTACCTGATTTATACAACTGGATGATGGTTGTTAAACTTTATGTCAGGGCAGTATGTTACTAGAAGCTAAACTTATCTCAAAAATTATTCAAAATTTATGTGTATCAAAATAAATGGATGGTCTAAAGTTCTTTTTAAGAATTTATTTGTTCATTTGCCAGAGATTCTGTATAATTCCTTCCTGGATAGCCCTCAATTTTCCAGAAAGTAAACATTAGTAAACAACATTAAAGCATAGTTTTATTCACCAGGTGTAACTCATTAATGGTCTCTGCATTCAGTTTAATTTTGTTTTGTTTTAGTTCTGAACAAGACAAAGAAGAATGGATCAAGGTAAACCTGATTTCTATTTTCATTTTTTGTTTTTTGATAACCTCAGTATGCGTACACAAGCATGCACATACTGTTGTATTGTGCACGTGTTGTAGTCATCGGCTCAAGGTCCTTTAATTTTTAAGGTGATTCCCATCATAGATATTTTTTAATAAAGTGTTTTCATTAATTTGCATGTGATACTTTAATGTGTACTTTGAATTTCATTTATATTTTAGGCCCTTCAGAAGACTATTGAGGTTTACAATCAGAGGCATGAAACCTTCAGAAATGCAATTGCAAAGGATAATGACATTCACTCAGAGGTTTCTGTAAGTTGAAATAAATTCTTAACTTTAAGTTTTTTCCTCTTTGCAGTCACAAAAGATCTATCTGGTCATTTTGTTCTCCAGCCTTTTCCCTTTGCAATGCCAGAACTGGCTATTTAAACACAATCTCCTTCCTTCTTAGATGAATACAATAGTGAGTACCTTTTCATACTGATTCAACTTCTTTGAACCTTTTATTTCTTTACCTAGGTCTTGAGTTTCAGAACATGGTATGAGCAATGCTGTTAAAGTGCTTTTTATAAATAAATAAATGGATGGATAGATGGATGGAATTGATATTTTTTTTCTATTAAAATTGAATCTCTCTTTCCTTTTTAGACTGCTGAGCTAGGGAAAAGAGCCCCAAGATGGATCCGAGATAATGAAGTAACGATGTGTATGAAATGTAAAGAGTCTTTCAATGCACTGACAAGAAGAAGGCATCATTGTCGAGCATGTGGACATGTAAGTGAGATTTCTTGGTCGTTAAGTTTGCTTGCAACTACATAAGTGTTGTAAAATAGTCAACTTGGAAAAGACCCCCAAAAACATTCAGTGAATTACTTCATTGATAAGCCTATTTTAGTGATAACTATGTACAAAGCACTATGCTGGGTCCTGGAGAAAAAATGGTAAGCAGGATGATACTCAGCTTCATATAATTTACATTCTCATAGCAAAAATAGACCAAAGACAAGTAAATGGACAAATAAGCATTTCAAATCACTATAAATGCAGTAAGGAAGCAATCAAGAAGTTAAAATGGAGGATAATGGTAAGGAAGGAGGATTTGGAATCAATTTTAGGTAGAAAAATGAAGACCTACCTGAGGGGTAGATATTTAAGCCGATGTCTAAAAAGCGAGAAAAAGGTAACACAGAACGGAGGCGGGAGGAGCGTCAGGCAGTGAGTCCGTGTGTCAGAGCCCCTGGGTAGGAAAGAGCTTAGTCTGTTCTTGAGACTGCCAAAAGTTCATATGGCTGGAGCATAATGAGTAAAGTGACGCGTAGCATAAGAAATAGAGAAATAATAACCAAAGGAATTGTTGGCTTTGAGAAAATAAGAGATGGAACCTGTTAGCATTAGTAGAAGTTCAGGCTTTTATAGGGAGAGGGAAACTTTCGTCCCTATGACAAAATGGAAAAACGAAAAGGCGGGTACATATGTGGGCATGTTTTTGATTTGGTGATGGGAAATGAGGGAATTTAGGTCTGATGATATGTATATTTTCATTGAGGTATGAGAAAAAGTGATGAGCAAAGCAAAGGGGGAAGGAAGAGAGATGGGAGAGATTCAAGAAAGAGGCCTGAGGATGAACTAGCTGTCTCTGGGTAGGAGAAACAAAGGGAAACAAAAGCATACTCATGGGTGCCCATTAGAGGTTTACTGTTATAAATATAAAAGGACATACTAGTCCATTTAATGGCAGTGATATTTTATTGACAAAAATTCAGCAACTCAAGCCAGAGAAGGCACACAGTAGATTTTCAGCAATTGAATTGTTTCATATAGAAAGAGTGACAAAGAACAAAGCATCAAATGAAGCTGTAGAGAAGTAGCAGCAGATTTTGGAGAACCTTGTAAACCAAGATAATGTACTTTCCTCTAAAAAGCAACAAGTAAACATAGAGAAGAGTAGGCATTACAGTATTATGAACTCTAATATATTATAAGTATGCTTAAATACAATGATTATTATTGATAGTTCTTTTAGATTATTCTCACTCTACAAATTTATTCTTCCTCCTTTTCTAAGGTTTGATTCAGTGAGATAGTTTTGCAATCAAAATTAAATTGGCAGCAAACATCTTTTTTCCTTCAGAATAAGACTAAAATCAATCATTGAGTTTGCTTGAAATGATTTTAGGTACTGACATACTTGCTTTTGTTTGAATGTGGATCATCACAATACTGTGGTATGATTTGAAAATAAGATATTGGTTGATAGGAATTTATAGATGCAGACATATTTTATTCTAAATCCTAGAGTAATTTCATTGTAATTATGAGAAAAGCATGAAGTTTTTTTTTATCATGAACTTTACATGCTATGAACCTAAACCAAAAGTTTTACTAATGTTTATATTTCTTAAATAAAATTTGTCCACTATAAATTGGGGGATAATATGCTTCTAGAAGCAAGGAGATAATTTTTAAACTGGAAGATTTTTAACAATTATAATAATTAGGAAAAATACTATTCACTAAGAAATAGTATATATTCATTATAGTCATTCATTCCTCGACATTCTACAAATGCTCATTTTGTGCTAGTGAGCAAAAAGATGCAAGGACAATCTCATAGAGCTTATAGACCAGTCAGTACAACACACATTAATCAAACAATCACACAAATATGTGATTATTTAGCAATTAGTGCATGAAAAAGTATGGGGATCTTTAGTGGCACAGTGACAACTTCACTAGTCTGGAAGTTGGAGTCATCTTTCTTGAAGAAATAAAATTTTGAGTCAACATCTGAAGGATGAACAGGAGTTAACTCATTGAAGCAGAGATGAGAAAGGGAGGGAGCATAGCACTTTAGGGATTGTAGAAGCCAGTGTCATTACAAGGCTTCAGTGTCCATACAAGGAGTAAGACGAGTAAGAGGAGTAAGAGGGGCAGGACTTTGTTGATTATCCAAGAGCAAAGGTAAGACCAAAGGATTTTAAGTAGTGGAGAAACATATCAGATTAGCATTTTTAAGAGAGCATCTGGTGCTGTTTGGAAAATAGCTTGGAGGAATGTAAGAGTAGAGACCTGGAGGCCAGTAAGAATGCTATAAGAATCAGTCCTGAGGCTATAATCCAAACCTGGACAGTGATAGCTTGAACTCAGGTGATCACAAGGAAGTTGTAGAAAATGGACAGATTGAAAAATGACTTAAGAGGTAAAATCAGCAGGAGTTTGTAATATGATGACTGTGGGGTGAGCTGTAGAGAGATGTCAGGGATGATCTTAGGTTTCTGACTTGACATGACTAGTTAGATGGATGTGCTGTCACCTGTGATAGGGGCACTAGGAGAGAGGAATGGGTTGGGAGGGGTGGGATGGAGTAAGCTGAGGGCAGGGAAGATTGTGAGTTCATTTTGGGAGAATATTGATAAAACATCCAGAGTATGAAGAATAAAGGTCTGTACCAAGACTTTGAAGATCTCCTACCTTCAGAGGCCAGAAAGAGAAGGGTGAGCAAGCAGAGCTGATCACAAACAGCATTATAATACTTTGAGAAATACTCTGAAGAATCGTGGAGATATTCTTAGTCTAATAAAAATTCACCTTTTTAAAAAAATTCTTCCTCATTTATTAATACTATAACTGGTTATTGCTTTAAATATGATTATTCATTCTTCTATATCTTTTCTAATTTAAGGTGGTTTGTTGGAAGTGTTCTGATTACAAAGCTCAGCTTGAATATGACGGTGGTAAATTGAGCAAAGTTTGCAAAGACTGTTACCAAATAATAAGTGGATTCACAGACAGTGAAGAAAAGAAAAGAAAAGGAATTTTAGAGGTACAAAATATTAAATTTTGAATATCTTTTAGATTTTTATACGAGGAACATAGAATTGTCTTTTAATCCTGAAAATACAAGTAACATGCTTGGTTATTTCTTAGTATTTAACATTTGGAGAACGGTGAGCAAGATCATACTTTTGTTCTATATTGCTGAATTTGGAGATCATACTTGGTTGTATAGAAAGAAGAGAGGCAGTAGTATGTTAAAGCAACATGCATTTGCGAGTGAAATATTTTGATTTTGTGAAGATAATTATAGTCAAATATTAAAGTATTGTCGTCTCTTCTAACACCTAAATTATTATTTTTTTTTAATAAAAAAGCTTTTCTCTCAATTTAATCATACTGGCTTTGAGAACCACTGCATGAAATTATTAAAGTATTATTATCTGAAAAACTCTTCCAACTTATTGTACTACAAGTATCATTTAATAGCCATTGACAGTAATCTCTTAACTGCATTGAAATATTGAAATGCCTCACAAGTGAATTCGACTCATGTTTTAGAGGAAATTCAGACCCCTGAGCCTGGGAACTATAATGCAACTTCTATCTGAAATGAGTTTCACACCCAAAGATATTAACAACATAAGGAATAAATTATATAATAAGGCCTTTGTGGCAGAAAGTTCAAGAGAGCCTAGAAAGTCTGTGAAGAATAGGCTCATGGTCAAAATTTTATGTATCTAAAGTCATAGACATACTAGTTTATTAAGAGTTTCTATGGTTTATTAAGAATTGATGAATGTTTATTGAGCATCTATACTCTATAAGCCTTCAAAGGTCATTTTGGGTAACTGAAAAGAATCATAACTTCAAGGTACATTTCGGGTTAGAGTATAGGCCCACAAACTAAAAGTTTAACTCTGAATTCTAGGGTATAGATGTTACCTGAATGGCAGACCAAATGGGACTTTTTTATGTCGGGCAGGGTGGGGGGTGGTGTAAAGAACTGCTTTATTGGCTCCCACAGCCTCAGTAGTTAACAGCCACATCTGATGCTACCGACATAATATAATAACTTGTTTTGAGGGATGAGTTTCAGAATGTATCCATGAAATAAAAATCTCTAGGTAGTTTTCTAGAAAAACATACTTAGGGAAAAATCAATTACTAGGTTAATACATTTAATTAACTAAGTATATAATATAAAGTCCATAAATAGAAGATAAGTATGTCTGTGTGCATATTTAAAACTTGCTATGTGTCAATTAGTTTGTTATGTATGCTAGACCAAGGGTCAACAAACTTTCTGTAAAGGGCTGGAGAGAAACTATTTTAGTTTTTGCAGGCCAAGACACAAAACTGAGAATATTACTTCTATAACAAGAGAGAAAACATTTTCACAAATTTTTATTGATAAAATTTTAAATATAATAATTCAATATAATTTTTTAATATGATAATAATAGAATTCTTTGGAAGGGGAGATAACATTTGACTTAATTGGAGTCCAAATTTAGCTTTTCTTATGATCAAATTGATTTTAAATATTCATCTGTAAAAACTATTCTCAGCTCACAGGTAGTACAGGAACAGTTGGTAGGCTGGTGGGCCATAGTTTGCCAGCCAATGCTTCTTAAACTGTCTGTGATGAATGGCCAGTTTTATTTCCAAACCATCACAGCTCGGTATTTTGTAAAACACACAATCATGTGCTTGGGTGCCATCACAAAGTCAAATTTCTATGAAAGTTTCTCAATGCTTATTCTTACTCTCCGTGTTTATCTTGAACTGGTAACAAAACAGTTTGCAAACCAGCACTGTTCGGTGGATGACACTGAGTAGCACTACCCTAAGGATTTGAGTCACAGAAAATAGAAGCAAACCAATTACTTTCCATAATGTGTGTAATAAAAACCATCATTTAGTCAAACAATTTTGTTCCCTTTTTAGCCAGTGATATATGTGTGTGTGTGTGTGTGTGTATAATATACATTATATATACATTAAGAGGTAACCCAGAAAACTAAATGGCTCTACAAAGAGTTAATACAATTTTTAAAACTTTTGAATTATTTCAAGTTGCAGGACAAAGATTGCTGGTCAGTATTTGCCTTTTTGATATTGTATTCTTTTATAGTTGAAGTCAATATGCATTATGGTTAAAAATGCATATCGACTGTGGATCCAGACTTTCATCTTAGCAAGCAAATTCTTATATGTGTGATCTTGGGGAAGGTATTTCATCTCTGAACCTCATAGATAATGGATGTTGTAACTTCTTGGTATTGGTGTGAGGATTAAATGAAATAATACATATAGCAAGCTAAAGCGTCAGCATAGTAAGCAGTCAGTAAATGTTTAACTCTATTTAAATTCAAGGTCTGGTAAAAGAGAGTTTAAAATTGACTTAAATATTTTCTTATGCTAGTAATAGATCTAGATGAATGTTTAATGCAGATGAACCTTTTTGGATGATCCCAGGAGACATTTTGTATAAACACATTGTACATTATGATTATTTTCTTAACTTGTATTTCTTCTCTATCTGGCCCATTTTGTGTTTTCTTTCTCTCTTTCCAATATTTTTTTCTAGATTGAATCAGCAGAAGTATCTGGAAACAGTGTGGTGTGCAGCTTTCTGCAGTATATGGAGAAGTCAAAACCTTGGCAGAAAGCTTGGTGTGTGATCCCCAAACAAGACCCTCTTGTGCTGTACATGTACGGTGCCCCCCAGGTATAAACTGCGTCTGTCTGAAGGGACAGAGGTCACGGGGGTCAGAGGAAGGCGAGTGGGCACTGAATTCAAAATTCTCCCATCACACCTCCATAGAACAAGAGTGCTCAGACGGTTTCACTGTTTTATTAAACTAAAATTCAAGGTTATTTAAGCTGATCGATTCCTTTTATAGTCTGTAATTTCTTCACCCTCTGGATCATTCTCCCCTTCTCTCATTCCTATTCAGTGGGTTTGAGAAAAAGGTGGGTTGAAATAGGAAAGGGCATAGGGAGAAGGGGATGAAGAGAGGGAGAAACAAGAAAGAGGAGCATTTCCAATGACAGGACATGATAGTAAGCCCCTCCCTGCTTCGCCCCATCCCCTGCCTTCTTTCTCTGAATGGAGGAATACTTGAAAGAGAAATTGAGAGTAAGGAGAATTTAAATCAACTTTAGGTTAACATTATCCAGTAACAAATTTTTGAGACCTATATGTGCATGGATCTGAGATAAGTCTTTAGGAACAACAGGCATGCAGGTTTAGCTTCTAACCAGAACAGCACTAGGCACTATGGACTGTGTAGTGCTTAAAAACAAACAAAAAACTTAAACCAATTATACATTCACCTGGAAATATATAAAATTTTAAATGTACTGTTTTTTAGCCTATATCTACGTTAAGGACTGGTAAAACATTTTTATTTTAGAAATAGATTTAAAATGCCAAGGTATACATTTTATTCTATTTCATTGTTTTTCTTGTAACCTTTTCCTCTCCATGAATAAATTGATGCATGAATGAGTGACACAGCAAATAAAACTGTTTAGTAATGAAAAAATCATTAACATTTGCTGATTTTATATACTAAGATGACTATTCTTTTTTTCCTTTTTTCTCTGAATGAAGGGCCGAGTAGGATCCCTCACAGGGAAGAGGTATAGAGCCAATGAATTCTCACTGATTAGGGTGTCAGCTCTCTTTTGTTAATTCATTCAGCCAACATTATCCGTGGCCTCATGTACAGGTGCTGTCCTATGTGCTGGATCATAATTTCTATCTGTGGAGATCTCACAGAGCAAGTCTGTGTGAAATGGTGGTAGGAGAAGAGGTTGAATAGGAACCAGATCACAGAGGGACATGCATAGCAAGCTAATACATCTCACACTCTTACGTACCATGTTTTTTTCTTTAGGATGTCAGAGCCCAGGCTACCATTCCACTCCTGGGCTATATTGTGGATGATATGCCGAGGAGTGCAGACCTGCCACACAGTTTCAAACTGACCCAGTCCAAGTCTGTGCACTGCTTTGCTGCAGACAGTGAGGAACTGAAACAGAAGTGGCTGAAAATCATCCTTTTAGCTGTTGCAGGTGAGACACCAGATGGCCCTAACGAGCATTCGGCCGCCACCTTGGACGATCATCCTGAACCTAAAAAATCAGAATGGTGAATCCAGGACCAACCATAGTGTGGGGCTCTGAAGATTCAAAGCTCATGACATTCCCGGTTCTCCGTATTCATCTGTTTGCACTTTATGTCTAAAAATGTAAGCTCATAAATGCATCTGTTAGGGGACTACTTTCCTATGTTTATGTACTCTTAGTGAAATTAATGTGCAGAGCCATTCTACCTATAAAAGTTGAAAATAATGTGAAATATGGAGTGTTTTTAAATGAGCTACTCTGTGAATATGTACTTCTGTCTTGAAGAAAATGGTGTTAATCGATTCTATCACTATCAGGTTAGAATAGGCCACTTTCGTTTAAGAAATCTTTTAATGTCTTCTCTTTCACTTATAGGACTTGTAACAGTTTCAAAGATATACCTCCATGTTGCCAAAATAGATCTATGGTTAAAAAAATACAGGGACAGTTTAGGCTATTGTATTAACTTATTTAATTTAGTTTATAAAGCTCAAGCTGCATAAATAATGTATGTCCTTTTAAAGCAAAAGACAAAGGAAAAATTGTTGGTGTTCAAACTTTTGACTTATGAAGAAAAGATAATACTTGTTTTTGTAGAAATAATTCTAAGAATAAAATATCTTAAGTATATAGCAATTATGTATATATAGCATTAAATATAAATATATGTATATTATACATGCTTTTCAGCTTTAGGTTCATATTTGTCTCTAATTTATTTTTAAAATCTAAAGCATGTTTTATCTTGGAATTGAACAATGTTCTAAACTTAAGAAATGTTTTTGGTGATTCATGTTTAACTGATTGACATCTAAGGGTATTGATATTTTTATAATAAGAAAAAGCAGTAATTTATGTGGCATGGGATATGTTAGTGAATTCCAACAGTATTTTTAAAGTACTTTTTTTTTTTCGTTCTGTGCCTATTTAAAACAGTGCCTCTCTTTGAAGGTGCTAATAATTCCTGTTTAAATATAAGATGAGGGTTTAATTAAGCTTCAGTGTTGATTATTCTGAGATAAAGTAATTTTGTTCACTGGGATGGTCAAAGTCCTTTTACCTTTTACAATCCTCCAATCATTGCAGCAGTTAATATCAGCTTATACAAAAAATTTCACCAAAACCTAAACTGTACAAAATGCCTGACCTTACTCAGCACTGAGACATATGGAAACTACATTTACTGTAATGTTTTTCCTTTCCATAAGACTGTTAAACATGGTAAATGAGGACTATATACAAGTAACACTTAAAATGACTGTGTGCACCTATTCTTTGTCAGATATGAAACAAAATTCACATGTGATGACCTGCGGGGGTGGATAGATATTAAAAGAAGTTTATGCTCAACTCTTTAAACTCATCGCTAAAGAAGAGAGAGGGGAAATCACAATATTGAAAAGCAATATTTTAATGGTAGGTTTTAGGGAGGTACAGATGATGAAGAGAGTCTGAGCATTTTTTCCCCTTTTATTTTTCTGGGGAATCTTAATAGACAAAATTTACATTCTTGTGATGAAAGCTGCTCTTCATTATATTATAGTTATTAAAATCTTGTCTTAAGTCGGCTTTTTAACTTAATCCTTTTCTCGAATTAGATCTTTTTCTTTTCTTTCATTTACCCTCTTATGCCCTAAACATTATCACTTTTAACGTATTAGTCTAGAAACCCACAAGAATGACCTCTCTATTCTCAGCCTTTGGGGATTACACCTTAAATGTAGAATAGAGTCACTCAGAATATGAGATTTCTGCTCATTTATTTGGGCAATCTTAAGAAATATTTGAAATGTCACTTTTCCTCCACCCAAAGGAACAGATAAACTAATTATGGCTGACATGATTAGGTTGCCTTCCTCCATAAAATGAATACCAGCCATGATCATTTACATTAAGCCTAATACTTGGAGCCAAAAAGAGATAAAGGTAACTTTTTCCTATTAAATCAGGGTCTAACTAAGAAATATTGTACATTGCTTCTCTTTTCTAGTTGCCAACTGTTGTGTGTGCCTGTATACAACATGTGTGTTTATGCGAGGTTATTGAGGTTAAACAATAGCTATAGATGATGCTTTGGTTTACTTAATCTCAAGAAAAGAGAAGCAATGAAAATGTAGAATGGTTATCAGGAGAAGATAATATTTGTAAATGTGGATAGAACAATGGAAATGTAAGGGCCAATTATAAGATTTATTTATAGGCCAGGTTATTTTTAAAACTGTTTTGAACAGCAAAAAGACCGTACTTCCCCTCTTAGTCAGTTCTTTGCCTGCAGTGGAAGTAACATGGACACGCTCAAGTTTTGGCTCAATAAATGTAATGTTATTTAATTTATAATACTGAAAGACTACTCATGTGAAGAGAATATTTGTTATCATGCTCTTAGGTATTACCTTTAATTTGTTTTAAAAATTAGAAATAATATTATAAGAGGAGAATTTCTGGTTATTCAGTCACCATCTTCACATCCCACCCCATGTTCTTTAGCCAAGCACAAAAAGCAGCAATGAAGCAGCCTTACCTGTTTCTTGTTAAAGAATCACTAATGCTTTTACTTGGAGAAAGGCAAAGGAATACTGTTAGCCTCTCAACTAAACCAAAAGACCTCAAAGTGTGATTGGTTACAAGAATAATCTATGTTTTTTGCTTTCTGAGGTACCTGAGCAGTCATGACAAATTGAATCTAAAAAAATAATTGGTTGCTTTCCTATTAAAACCAACATTCCATATGGGTCTTATTCTTTATTTTCTCTAATTTGGTACTTTCCAAGCCATCTTTTCTTTAAAATGCCCTTCCTCCAACCTTAAAAAATACTTCTTTGATAAAAACTGCTATTTATTATAAAACATTCCAATTTTTTAAGCTTAATTTTTGCTTTATTAAAAGTCTACCATTGGTATATTAAGTATGAAATATAGTGCAGACTGATCTCCAGGTTTTAAGTGGGACTCAATAATGAAAAACACCACCAGCCACTTTTGTAATAATGGCATCTACAATGCTATCATGTATGCAAGCAATAAAACTCTTCAGGGTATGCTTTTATACTGACATTTTAATATAAACACCCCTTGCCACAAGGACATAAAGAATTAACTTCTAGAAGTGATAATGCAACTCATTGCTCAGTATAGGGAAGAGAAAGTGTGTGTGGGTGGGGAAGTGGGCATTGTTCCTTGGATTCAAATATCTATCAAAAGCATTTTACTTTTCAAAGGGCATGGATGGTGAAACAATTGAAGCACATGTACATCGCTTTATCAAGGTACATTTCATTTTAATACAACATACAGGATGCTGTACTTATCTTCACTGAGTGACCTACTCTAATTTTTTAAAATTACCAAACTTTTTTTAAGAACTAGCCTTTTAAATGTACCCTGTCCCCATATATTTTAAAAAGAATACTTGCTGTAGTCATAAATATATAAAGAAAACTACAAACTTCATAGTATTACGGGGTTGTTAAAGATTCATTGATGCCTTCTAAAAACCTTATATCAAAAATACTGCAAGTTCACTATTATGTCTTACTTTTTCTTGTCTACTTTGTGAAAACAGGGTGTTTTATTCTCTTCAAATTTTAGATCTCATTTCTGGTTATACTCAAAGCCTTAAGTTTTTATTCTGAGCATTTTGTCTGTGATAACTCTGATAATGATATTTCTGGGCTGTATCTGTCCTGAGGAAAAGGCACCAACAGGAGCAAATAAAGTTCTAAGGAACAAAGGTGTCCTTGCTACAATGCAGAATAGAAAATTAGTTAAAATTTTCTACATCACATGATGTTCATGTTAGCGGTTCTAAAATTAAGCACATGGTATTTATAAGCTAAAATTAATTCAAAAGACAAGAATGTCTTTGAAACTAATAATAAAATAAATGTTTTTTTTAAAAAGATAATGTCTTAACGTTTTCATTCTTAAGTTTTGTATTCTTCAAGAACGTATTAATATAAAAACTGTGGCTAACCAGTTCTTATTCTTAGGACTGTATTGACATCTGTAGTGGATTATGTTATTTCTTTATTCTCATCCAATTTTAGTCGAATCAAATTGTTCTTTACTTTCATATCACTACCTATTATAGATTCTCCAGATTTAGAAAATATGGGTATGATATATAAAGACCAGTAGATCTACTTAAAAAACCCTTTCTGTGAATTTATGCGTATATGTACATATGTAAAAATACTATTTCCAATTCTGTTTTTTCATAGGAATGAAATTTTTATAGAAATTGTTCTTTTTAATTTAAATACTTTAACATAAGTTATTTACATGGATTTTCAGTATAATTCGTTCTTATGTATGCCCATAATCATGTCATGAGAAGATAACTTTGCTTTCTTTACTGATATGGTAGAGAGGATTAAGATTAGAAACTGAAACAAGAATGAACAGGGAGGTGTACAGAAAGAGACTGCTGGTCTCCAGATCAGAGCAATGTGTGTTAAGAGAAAAATACTTAAACTGCAGAAGAGATATAAACTATAAAATATAAATATGTAATTGCATACCGATGGGATCTATTGCACCCAGGCCTTTCACCTTGGCCTCTAAATTATACCATGAGCATCTTGTCATTACTTTCTTTTTTTATTTAGGCTTTAAAAGAAATAATTTCATTCGATTGGGCCATTTTCTGTACAGTTAACTGAGGTAAAAATCCCTCTGAAGTCCATCATGGTCTTTAACTTTCTGGAGTGAACATTGGGAAGAGTGCAGTGTTCTGAGATGAAATAGCACACGGCTTCTACAAAGATAATTTTTAACTTGGGGTCAATGAGGTTTACATAATAGTCATCTCTTCCTAAAGTTCGTTATAGATCGAGTTAGTGAGATTAGGTAGATTTAGTGAGAAATTAAATCAAGAAATCTCACTGTAGCATATTTTAATAAGTGAATACTAAATATATAGAGTGATATATATATCACTTTGGGAAGAAACAAAATAGTCTGTGGGGACCATTATGATAACAATTGCATTATATATTACACATTATATGGATATTAGAAAGTATCACTTGGGGGTGGGGGATCTCCCTTCATTAACAATCATGTCTGTATATAAAACTGATTTTTGTTTTCATTTTTCCCAAACTAGCATTTCATTTTGTGAGTGACAATTGACTGGTATTTTTGAATAAGTGTTATCTGGGATTTGAATTGTTGACTGATCAGTTTGAAAAGTTATGTTATCAGAATTTTAGAGCTAAATGTGAAAAAGTACACAAAAGTAATTTTTCTTTTCTAGCTATATGAATGTAAAATACTTGCAGATACTGTATATATTGTGTAACATATGTATATTTGGTCATAAAGGCAGAATTGGAAACAATGTAAAATTAAGCACCTTAATTCCTGTTAAATATTAAATATTTGTATCTTGTAAATAAATACATCCTTAAATGAATACTAAAGACTTAGATGTTATTTTAGTTGTGGTTATATATGTTCAGTTCACAATGATTTTGGTTGTCAAAATTTTGGTTTGCTCCTTCTCCCTCCCTCCACTGTTAAGTATGCAGCCAGGGGACACAAGTCAAATCATGTTACTTCTCTACCACAGTCTTGGGCGGAGGTCCCCATTTCACTCAGAACAAAGCCAAAGTCCTTTGAGTGGCCTTGGGAAAGGCCCTATAGGTCTTCCTGCTATTACCACCTGGTACCATATGTCTCTGCTTTTCTTTAAACAAGCCAAGTATATTCCAGCCTTATAATTCACACAACTGGCTGTTCCCTCTTCATGCAATGCTTCTTCCCAGATATCTTCATAGTTAACACTTTGCCAATTTAAAGTCTGTGCTCATATCTCACCACCACAATCTCACTTGACAAGGATATCTTAGATTACAACTGCCTCCACTACCAGCATAACACTCTCATTCTTTCTTAACCTGATCTATTTTTTCCCAGAACACTTATAATCTTGTAACACACTAGTTAATTAGCTATTTTTGTGTTTGTTTTTATTGTCTGTCTCCAACTACTAGAACATACGCTCCATAAAGGTAAGGATTTTTATCTGTTTTGATCACTGATGTCCCCAACCCCTAGAATAGTGCCTGGCACATTGTAGGCACTCAATAAATACTGAATATAAAAGGTAGGTTATATAAAAGGGAAAAAAATCAAGAAAATTTTTCTTCCAAAGTGTTCAATTGTTAGGGTACAGACCTTTGGAAGAGCGACTGAGAGAAAAATCAACATTTTATATGACTAAATTGTTTTAATAACAAAGCCAGTTTCCTGGTTAAGGGCTTAAAACATAGCCAAGGATTTAAAATACAATGGCGAAAGTCTTAGCCTTTATGTGATCTACTCTTGCTTTTACAAAACCAGTCTCAACCTATTGTCACCACCATCACCAGGGCATCTGGATTGTGAGGAAATTAGAGGCAGCTGGTCACTGTTCCAGAAAAAGCCAGAGACACTGAAAGATATACATCCTGAGGAAGTGGGGCTGGCAGAGAGGACCTGGCCCAAGGTGTGGATAATGAGCACTTACTCTGCAATCATTCTCTTAGAGAGGAAGTGATTCATTTGTCGTTTTTGTCCTGCATTTAAGTAAAAACAAAGCCAAGTTGTTTTGTCTCAATAAAGGAAACACTCTTCTTTTATACAGTAAGATGGCACCCTGTAATCTATTATGGTGTTTTCAATATTTTTAGTTAATCACTTAAATATATCGTTATCATGCACTGAACAGAGTTCTGAGTTGCCGATCCTAGGATCCAGTTGTTTAGGTGATGTCCAAGTCTGTGAGCAAAACTCCAGGATGCTGCTACTTGGAGCTTTGAGTTGGCTTAAGGGCTTGGTTCACCTTTTACCAAAGAGTGCGCCTTGGTCTCAGGGAGATGAAATAACTGTAAAAGCTTGATTAGTAACATCAAATTTTAATTCTTCTAATGGTCACATTTTAAAATGTATGAGGTTTTTTTTCTTTTTTAATCTAGAGATAACAAGGAATTCCTGCATTAGTGAAGTTTTGTCAAATTGAGGGTCAAGAGAATTGAGTTCTAATCTTGTCTCTTCTAGTAACTCGAGCTGTGAACCTAGGCATGCCATTTTACCTCTCTGAGCTCTGGTTTCCTTATTTGTAAAATACTACTGTTGGACTAAAATTTAAAATGACGAAAATTGCTAATGTTCCTTTAGGCACTAGTATTATAATCTTATTTATATATTTGTTATTTATTGTTCCCCTGATTCTACTTGCCTTTGAAAACCTATTTTGGTATCATGTGCAAGTATAATTTAATTATATGTATAAAAATACACAGTCACTTACATTTTTCTAGTTGTTCTTCAAGTGCTTCCTTAATATAGCGCTATACGGAGAATCTTCTCTCCATTGCCATTCAGCCAGAAGATTCTGATATCCCAGCCAAAGCCAGTGGGCATCAGTGGATTCTGTGAGTACAAATTAGGTAGTTGGTGGGCTCAGCATTAGTGCTATTAAACGTAAAAATCTCTTTAAGAGTCAGAGTTTTTACTCAGGCAAATAGGTTGGGCTGATTGTCAGATACGGCATTCTAGGTGCTGAGAAGACTTTTGTAGGGGCCATTTGTGCCCTGGCTGAACTATGCCTGGAGTCTGATTCCTAACCCATAACATACTTATCCTGTACCATCTACTTGTAAAAAGGCCAGAGTTGGCCCCGTGATTTCACTTTTATACACCTAAGGATACCATTAATTAAATTAAAAGACAGAATGCATGTTGAGAGGAAATGTTTACAACATATATAGCAAAACTTTTTTCCATAATAAATATAAAAAACTAACAGATTAATATTTTAAAATATTGATGTGATGGGAAAAAAGGGCAAAGAATATGAATAGATAATATAGTCACAGAAATATAAAGAACCAATACATGCAAAAATTCACTAAAAATGAAATACAAATAAGAAATGATTACTTTTTTAACCTATTAAATTAGCAAAACAAAATATTGATATTACCCTAGAGTGGGTATGGGGAAGTGGGTACTTAATATACTTTTATTTGAAGTACAAACTGCCACACCAATATTTATTTAAATTTTAAAGATGCATACCCTTCGACTTAGAAATTCCATGTCTAGGAATATATCCTACTGAAATACTAAGAAAAGTATGAATATATACATATATAAGGATATTTTCTACAACATCGTCCACAATAAATTCAAAGTGATCTATCTATCATCTACCAAGAGAAAAACTGTTAAATTATAATCTTTACGAGAGAATATTATGCAGCTGTTGGAAACACTATTTTTTGGATTTTTAAGTATTGATATGGAAGATATCTATAACAGCAATGAGTGAAGAAAATCTACCATTAAAGGAGCTTTTTTCGAGTTATTTGTAGTATGATCTAATTTATGTTATAGATTTGTCAGAACAGTAAAAAGTATGAATAGACAGAAGCTATTAAGGGTGGTTCCCATCTGGAGAGTATGATCAGAAGTGAGGCCTTTTTCATATTTTACATTATTTAATGACATTGTTTCGGATCTAATTGTGTCCCCCCTAAATTTATGTGTTGAAGCCCTAATCTCCAATGTGACTGTATTTGGAAATAGGGATAATTAAGGGATAATTAAAGAGATAATTAAGGTTCAATAGCCATAAGGCTGGAGCCCTAATCTGATAGGACTGGTGTCCTTTTTAGAAGGGGAAGAGTCACTAGAGGGCTCTCTCTGGCCACATGTGCACAGGAGAAAGGCTATGAGAGGACACAAGGAGAAGGCAGCCAACTGCAAGCTAGGAAGAAGTACATTACCAGACACCAACCTTGCTAGCCACTACAGCAAAGCCCACAGGAAGGAAGATGAAATATTTTTTGAACAAGCCATTCTTTTATTTTTCTGTTTATCTTTTTGGTCACTATTTTATGATTTCTTTAACAC